CTGCCGAGAAAATCGATATTTAAGTCCAATCGGAAAAAGCCGATTTGTTCGCCAATCGCAATCGACTATGAAAATAATTGAAAACGTTTGGTCGAATTTCGAGCACGTCTCTCTACGCACAAATCCACGGTAGCATCAACAACGTCTGCCATCTTTCTGACACTAGCACACACCCGAATCATCAATTTTTTTGAATAAATCGGGCGCCATTTTGTGGGCAAAAATCGTCATTTTAGAATGAGAAACAGCTTCTACTGTGATTGTTACCCTGATAAACAATAATGTTTCCTAGTAAATGCTGCTTAATGCTTAACTTTGATAAAAGTACACAGCAGATGGTCACAAGCTGGCCTCGCTTCCCAACCGAAATTTGTACATTTTGTATGCTTACTTCTCATTCTAGTGTCCCAAGCGCTGGTTACAAAATTAGGTCTGTGCCATGTCATACTTTTTTTACAGAAAATCGTTTTCTTAACTTAATCTAAATTTATCCAAAAATAAAAGCCACAGTACGTAGGAGACTATCGTTTTACGCTTCGGTAAACTCATTTAAGCATTCTCACAAAATCAATTTTAAATCTCACAAGATCTTTAATGAGTCAATTAAAACAACGCGGTTTTCACAAGGGTTAGTTCAAAGTAAGCTGTTTTTCCTAGCTAGGAGGTTTCTGGTTAATCTATTCGTGGAAAAATTAAATTTGTATTAACCGCTTTTGGTTGGACCAATGAGAACAAATGTCCCCTTTTCCCATACACGTCGGTTGTGGTTTTACCACAAAACCATGGTAACAAAAACCTTTTTTCACCTATTACAACGTCGAAATCAAATGTAAGATTGGAGCGCTTCTGTAGTTTAAAAATCCTACCATTTCACCTAGAAGAATGTGATCTCCAACCAGGCAATAATGCTTAGAAACAGACATATTACTGAGAGTCAATTTAAGTAGGCTGGATGCCAGCCAAGTCGTAGTGCCACATGACTCGGAAAATAAGGAGGAAGAATGCGTTCGACGTGACTGGTTTTTCGTAAGGAAAAAAAATATCGTGGTTTTGTCATCAGCCAAAACACACTGACTGCGGATCGGTACACTGGCAATATCTTGGAGGCAAAAGAAGGTACACCCGTTGTTTTGCTGGAGGCATTATCAGGTCGCGTTTTGACTAAATTTAAATCATTGTATGGCCTTGGTGTAAATCGATTTTAGTCGATTAAAATTTCACCGTGCCAACGAAACCGTGCATGTACTTTTGAATATGCTGGTGATTAATTTAAACAACGTATTTTGTGATTCTGATAAATAAAATTTGGTAGAAAAAGGAACTATGGCAAATGGTTTTTCACAAAGCTTTCTCGATTACTGACTGTTTGGTAAGTAAAGGTGTCCACGCACGGCAAATGTTGAACTACCTGGATGATTTCTGTGCGTTTGGTCGCGAATTTAGGCCGCAGTCGACTCACGCAGTTAAATTATTCTCTGATGAGTACATTTGGTTTTGACTTAGCTTGGAATTAGAAGAAAATCCGCCCTTCACTTATTGCTTATGCATCAATTTTAAAATCTGCGGCGTATCTCATTTAAAAGTCGGAGCCAATCAAAATTGTCAAAGCTGACTCGATTACTATTGGCTAACCAATTACACAGTCTAAGAGAATGCGTGCTTTCTCAATAATAACTTACAACGTTGAATAACGTCATTCAACAATAGTAAAACAACAAAAATACGGAATATGCATTAAAGACGCTTTGAGTGCAATATTCAGCCAATGGTGAAAATCTAAAGAATTGACTTCGCACTAAATCAGCAATTTTGAGTAGCGTTAATTACGTGAATTTGCAGATCGTCTAGGCGGGCGATACCTTGTCACCCACACACACCGGGTTGGCAAAATCCAGGCCTTATGGTCACCTTTTGCTGATTTATTCCAACTAAATGTCAGACCTGGGCCTTGACAAATGTACTCTCGATTACTCACTGCCTCGGGTTCTGTCTTTCGCAGAAGCCTAATTAACGTGCGCTGCTGTTGACTAACCATGCCATTCGCCTACGTAGTGTGCATTTGGGCGGCCTTTTGCTTGTTTGAATCTGCAAAAATAATTGCCGCGCCAATTGAACTCTTCGGCACCTTGCCCTCTAAGAAATTAGACAAAGAGGGGTAGATTAGAAATCAGTAGCTGTCGATTGACACTTAAATCGATATGAATCAATAAGTTCCTAGAAAAGTTCAGTGTAAACTTTGCTTGACATATCGAGGATGCCTCCAAATTGGTTAACCAAAACCAATTTGATAGTTCGGTCGAATTTCCAGGAATCTGATTGGACAATGTGGAGAAATGTGTAATTTTGTAACGTGGCGGGACATTTGAAGTACTTCTGGGTTCTACGAAAGTCAATGTGAAATTTCCTGTTTCCCTTCTACTAAATCAAAAAAATCACGAGAAGGAGTAATTAAATACACTGGGAACAGGTAAATATAGAGGAAGCTTCTATTGGCGTAAATAAGGTGTGTTAACCAATTAAAGTAAGATTCCAAAATTGAAATATCCAATTGGATTATAACTTCGTGATGCAACGATCATCCAATTGAGATCAGGTTTAGTTTGGTTGAATTAGTAAAACGGTAAAAAAGTTTTGGACCAAATTTAGAATGAATGACAGCAAAAATTCGTTTTGACGTCCTGTCGTTTTAAATTTGACTAATTCTATCAACAGTTAACTCATTTTAAGCCGATTTTAGAAAAGATATATATTACAAACAGTCTGTTAGAAGTAGGAAATACTGATTTACCACTCACAGCTGGTATGTGGTCGTATTAAAAGAATCAAGGTCATGCTGGTACGGATATCGACCTTGAAAAATTGCCTAAGGCCTCACTCTTGAACGTATTCTTGTGTTCTATCTTTAGGCCAAAAGCTGATCAGACCTCAGGTTAGACTAGAGAGGCATATTTAGAAACTAAACAAGAATAGATAACCTTTAGCTGAATACTAGGAAAAAAAATCCGACCTTTTTTAAGGCACATTTTCGACCAATGCTTACGCGTTAATGTGCACCTAAAAAAATCGATAACTGCGCACGTGCCGAATGCCGTATGCATTCACAGTGAGAATTTTAGCCACTCCTGGAAAGAACGTCTAAGTAACCAATCAGATTCAGGGGACCCCTGCAGACGTCCAATGAGCATCGCGCATTTCGAAAGAGCACCAAAATACAAAGTGTAATTTATTGGCTATCAGCACTCTTCTCCTTCCGGCAGCAAATTCAAATTTTTGCTCGCTGACAGGTTGTCTTTGTTAAGCTTTTGCCCTGTCAAATTGACTGGCCACTCCAACGGTTGATGTGGGCTGAACAGGTGATGTTTTGAATCCGTCTGACAGCTGACATGGTGTTTCATCATTTCTGCACGCGGATAACACGAATTTTCTTACGCGTTTTGACACATGATTTCTATTTGTGCTGAATAAATCCTTGGTTTAGTTAAAGAGCATGAAAATGCAGAATTAGTTAGGTTTTTTCAAAAAAAGGATTCATATCTCGTTGAAAGTACAAAGATCTTTATGAAAATGTTGAAATCACCTTTCTGATTGGTTGGCTCTGGCACTCCATCTCTACTTCCTTTAGAAATCAATCGATAGCCTATCGATTTATTTTCCCGCCAACACTTACATTTGAGCACGTTTCCCAATTCTTGATTAAAACTAAAGAATTTAAAGGGTGACTTAAGACGCTCCACTTCCGTTATGGGCGTCAACCGCCAGCAGCAGCAGCAGTGGATAAATCGGAAGACACTTCTTTATCTTCCGGATGAAAACTAAATTCTCATCCTTTTTTCGTCGTTTCAACTTCCACAATTAAACGATGTGAAACCCTGCCTGCCTGGCTGCCATGCATATGCTCCAGTCAGCTTCCATTCTGTAGAAAGCTGATTGGTCGAAGTCTGTTTTGATACAATTTCATTTGAGGACAGAACTAAGTGCATTTCTTGCAAATCGACAGCAAAAAACTCTTGCAGGCATGGTTGTTAGGTGTACGCTGAAATGCGGGCTACCAGAGCCCGCATTTGAAATCGCATTTGTGATTTTATATGGCCTGCCAGCCTTGATGACTATGAAAATTATGGTACAATCACACCTATCTGTATCCGGTTTGGTTCCAACCACTAATTTCGTGTCAAATTTGACCAAATCTGGTTAAATCAGACACATGCCCAATCGACCAATAAAAAAACACTCTCCTGTACATGGCAGCTCATTATTGGTTTACAAATATCGATTTTCTGGCTAACCGAGTGTTTAGAGGGTTAAATTAGGGCCCCAAAGACGCGTGATCTGTTACGCTGGCATAAACAAATTTAATTACTGTTTTTTGTAACCGATTAAATTACGCGCTGTTGATGAAAGGGCTGCATTTAAACAAAAGTGTTGCCTTGGTCAACTGGCACTCAAAGCTCAGAGGCGGCAGACCGCGTAATCCAGCCAATCATAGTAATCGAATGCTGGGAGTTGACGACATGTGATCTTATTTTGGTAACTAACTTTGAGATTTTCACAAAGACCGATCGCTACTGCATCCCAGACACCGAATATCTTCATGGTTTTTTGGTGTAGACAAACAAAAGCGGTTGAGTTAGCTCTTAAGAGTCCATCGGATAACAAAAATTGCGACTTCAGCATTTCGAATAGATCAAAGTGTAAAGTCCAAGTATGGTATGTACTGTGTGTTCCAGCACAACCACTCCTATTTGAGATTAAAATTTTATTCGAAAATCCTGTGAAATTTGTCGGAATGAATTTAGTCAGAAAATCACACACAAATCCAGTAGCCAATCAGTTGATTTGATCATTTGGAGCCATGGAAATCTGCAAGGGCTCGAACCGCCGCCATGTTTGTTTCTCATTGGACCAAGCCAACCAACCAAGAAACAAGGTGAAATTTTAGGTCTAATTAACTACGCCTAGAAGTTGTTTCCTTCAGTTAGACGGGATTTTTGCTCTGACAGTTGGGCGTGGTTCTGTTCCCAATTGGAGCGCACTTCTTGGGCGAGGTCAACGTCACATTTGGCCTTGAACCAATAGAACGGCGCGCGTTTGCACGATCTGGCCAATGCCATGGCTCACGCGTCACGCCCGTTGCCCAGCCAATCAGGTGAGTGTGTGGGTGCGTGCACACGTGCGCACGTGTGTGAGTATAGGAGGGTGCGCGCGCGCACGTGTGCGTGTGTGTGTGTGGCATTCAGCTAGCGTTAGTGAGCGAACGCGTTTGTTCATATAATTAGGCAACACCACACAGCCGATGCACAACACCACCTTCACCGGCGACGCACCCATGCCCAGTCGTGTTTGTTGAAAAAAGGCCAAAAGATTGACACGCTAAGTACAAGCTCGTTGAGAGGCAAGGCAGCTGCTATCACGCCAACGCGAACGCATTATCGATCTCCAACAGGCAGCGAGGTGGCTTTGGGTGTACGCAAACCCTTCAAAGCGGTGCCCAGTGCTGCACTGCTGAAGTTCGCTCGCGACTACACTGCCGGTGAAGTAGTCAACGAATCCATGTCGACCACAACAAGTTCCGCCATCATGCGACACTTGAATGGCGGCACCCGACTGAAGACCGATTCTGGGTTGGAAGGAGGTGGCGGAGGCGGGGGCGGTTACGGTGATGGGACTAACAATGGCAACGCCTCGGACACCAGTGGTACCCCGCCTGTCGCCAATCTCTCGGAGGAGTCCATGATGGTTCTCTCGCAGTCGGTAGACTCGATTCACACCATCGCCACTACTGGTGGAAGTGATGCCATAGACGTGAGTTCCTCTTCCAACTTGTTCATCTTTTCGTCGTTATTTACTGCGTAACAAAACCGTCCTAGATGACAGCTAATCAGAGCTTGTTTTGTGGGTGGTCTCATTGGCTATTTGTTATGATCCATTTTAATTAAAAAAGGGCTGCAAGCTGAATGAACGTTCACGCCCAAACAAATGTCACTGGGGAACAATATCCATCCAATCAGAATTAAGCGTGATTTCATAAATGCTACTTTGGAAAAAAAGGTGTCTTCGAAAGGAGGCCACGTGATGCGCTGGCTACCGAACCGTGCGTTAACGGGTATCTACTTGATTAAAACAAGGCAAAAGTGAAAGTGTGGCTTTTTGTTGAAAGAGAAGGCTTTAGCTCTGTGATGCCGACAAAAGCCAATCAAACTTCTCGGCCCCACAGGCTAGCTGTGATTGGTTGTTTCGGTCGTGTACATAATCAAGTGATGCAATCACGTGGCGCACCTTTTCTTTGATCGACCGCTACTTGGCGCCCAATTTGTCTTCATTTCCTCTCGGCTGTAATGAAGCCCACTTCATGGGTTATTCACGCTGAATGCACAACATCTGCTGCAATATTCCAAGAAGCAACCGCGTCGAAAGTGCAATGATTCATCACCTTGTCCGTAGCGCATCATCAATCACAGCGAATTGGCCTTTTTTCGGCAGTTCGCGTCCGGCCAAACAAATGCGATAAAACAAAAAAATCGCGTCAATATTTTCGATTATGACCTAACCCCCACTTCTTCAAAACGCCCGCATGTGATAGTGAGCACGAAGAGTTAAAAAAGGAGTGCGTTTTAGCAAAACCGAGGTGATGGCGCCACGTTTATACGACAAAAAGCCTGATTTCGGATTGTCTGGTTGGCATTTAGGCTAACTGGGCGCTAGGCTTTCCGATGCTCAAATTTCATTGGCTAACGATTTATTCGGCGTGTTCTATTGGTTGTCTAAATATAATAGAGCAGTATGGAATTTAATAAAGCAGTCAAGCCCTCGACGTGCTACCACAATACATCCTATTGGTGAAATGAGTTTTTTCTAATTAACTCAATGTCCGAAATCGATAAATTGACCCCTACTCCGAAGGCCAACTCAAGACAAACGTTCGCAGAAGTTGTACACAACTTTATTGATCTGACCCCTTACGTGCGCCGTGTGTGTGTGCGTGCGTGCGTGCGCGCACACATGTGTGGTACGCAAGCACCCACGTGCCTTCACTCGTGTGGGTGAACACCTCTGCTGAATCATTTTCAGGAAATGAAGGAAATTGGTGTTGTCGTACAAAGTGATCCAAATTAAAACAAACGCAATTCTCTCACTTTCTGTCATTGTTCGAGGCCGTCGCCATAGCAACTCTTACAAATTCGGACGTAGGCTTACTGAGGCACATTCATTCTTCACTATCTCAAATCCAACCCACTCCTTTACACAAGTGTAGGTGTGCTAATGTGCATTTTATGAGTCAAGAACGAACACCCAATGAAATTAAAGAAAAAAGAATAGTATCAAGTGAGCCAATCAAATCTTGCCTCGTGAGGCAAATAGCCAATCCCCGAACGAGAACGGAACATACGAACTCGGTGATTTGTGCCCTCGTGTCTAATTGATAATGTTTACTGGCTTTTGGACTACTAAAACAACAAAATGCATTTAGTCGGTGACTCACGCTGTTTGCTTCGACGCTTATTGTTCTTCAAACAATGTCAATTCTGTAAATAGCGTCTAATGAGTCACCAGAGTACAGTTGATTGTGCTGGTAGCCTGCATTGAGTTATCGCGTTTCTCACAAACGCGCATTTCTCGTGGCGAATGGCTCAAAAGGGGTTAATTTTGCGACACCAAGTGACCTCAACTAGTTCTCGCGTTGTAGGAAGCATCGACAGTTTCTCACCGCTCCGGAAACTACTGCTCTGGCCCTAGCAACGCTGCTCTCTCGCAGTGTGTGTGTGTGTGAATGTGCGTGTGTACAGGCGTCATGGCAACTGCGCAGTCAACGCTAACTTGGCCTTTAGCGTCCAGTGTTTGAGTGGTGCATTCTTTCTCACGGTGTGGTATCAACGCAGTCCGAAGGGCGCGCGCATACATAATCATGGCTTGCACATCTCGTAATGACTATCTGCGCACTTCGAATTGCACTAATCCACTAGACGTGGCTCTTCCTGTTAGCATTAAATCACAGTCGTCATGACGACAAGATGGCGGCATCACAGCTTTATTGATCCATAACACTCAGCGCAAAAAAATCAACTCCCCCTCGATCGACAGTCTAATTAGTGCGATGACAAATCGGGCCGAAGTTGTGATTGGTCAGTTTGAGTGCTTCTCGTTACGCACAGGAAGGCGTTGGTTGTGGGGAATTGGCTGTTGCTACGCGATAATAAAAGGCATGTTATTGTCGTGTGAATTGTTTTGACATTCCCACGACCCGCTGAGGTGAGCCAGCATGTTAATGGCGGATTTACAACCTGCCTTTTGTAGGAGCCATTGAAAATTTCAGTTCTTAACATTACCTGATTTGATCACTTCAGTGAAAATTCGCCAACAGTATTTTTCCGCCGTTTTAGCACCAAGTCCGCACCCTATTTGTCAGTGGTTTACCCCTCGACACCAAATCCCGTGAACTCTATCTCCTCTTCCGCGGGTTCAAGGTGAGTTCTCCGCGTTATTCGTAGCCCCTGAGCACACTAATTACGCAGTTTCCGACTACAAATAACCCGCTTAAGTTAGCAGCCTTGTAAAAAAAAATGGAATTCCGAAATTCTAACTCTTGCACTGATAAGAGGCTCAAAAACGATTGTTTTAATGGCTTCCTCATGAGGCCACTCAGGCTTGGAAGCAAATGAAACAACGCATGCCAAATCATGTACAAATTAAATCATGCAAGGCGCACATTTCCTTAGCTGTGATTGGCTCAATTTGCTGCTACTTCGATCGATATTCAAATCACAGTTATTTCAAGCATGATAGTAACCTGGACGTTTTACCCTTCTTCTCCCAATGTCAAACACACTCGCAATCTTCGATATTCCCCACCAATCACATGCTGGCCCAACACTGCGACCGTTCGCGTAAACAATGCTCTTTTTGGACGTACCACCTCCCGCCCCCGCGCGAAAACCCATTGCACACGGAAACAGGGTTACTTGTCGTCAACGCTGAAACCTGCGGGCAAAAACGGCAAACTAACAGCGGTAAGCAATGTACCCACAGTCACACGCACACACATTCTTGTGTTTATTTTAGCACTTTTCATAAAAACAGCAAATCGCCAGGCATTACGTGCTTCGTGTGACTCTCATGGTCCCTTCCAGCGGGTTTTTATTAAATTTCCAAATGTTAAATTCTAAATTGTTCATGAAATGGGTGTTGTACTTTTATCTCGTTGCAGCCCGTCGGATTCGTTACGTTTGAGACCCGTGAACAGGCCGAAAATGCCCTAAACGAGCTTCAGGTAAGCCTGTCTTATCGATCGAGAATTTTCCTGACGTTCGTGAGATCCACTCAGGTGGTTGTATCGATTATTTGTTGCAGCAGACGGCGCAAATTTGGCTGGACAACTAATCACGTGGGTGACTCGTGCTTCTATTGGTGCATTGGTAGACACCAATTCTATCACCCTACACACACACACACATCCAAATCCACCAATCACCTCTTCCCACTTGTATACGCGTGTCACACTGCACGAACCAACACTACCCGAGAGTATTGCCTATTGGTTAATGCGACGCCTAGGCTACACACGGTTTGCAGAGCACTTGAGGCATGTTACAGGATTTATGATGTTGCTAGTGGCGTAACTAATGCTTCCTGACTATGGATCAGCATTCACAAACACACACAACATCATTAACCATCTCACAAATCAGGTGCTTATGAAGAATTTTGCACATATTTCACATCAGAAAAGCAAGCGTTTGCACCTCAACACTGAGTATTCTTGAAAGCTGAGAAGTTAGTTACAATTTGCGTGGTTTTTCTCAATTCACGCACACACCCAACACATAAGGTCATAGTCGTTGTTTGGATGTGTTTTGGCTAAGCAATCGTCAAAATAACGAATCGATTCCATTTAGTATCCGCTGCTTTGCTAGTTTTAAGTAATTCGATGTCGTTTGTGTCATTTTTTTCAGCGAAAGGAGTTTTTGGCCTCCTGATCTATATATACTGCTTTTGTGCATTTTGAGTAGTATATCGATTCAGCATAAGTCAAGCTTAACAAGGCGATACGACAACTTACAGACTGATCAACCAATCATGTATTCACAAAAGCAGCTGGAATTTCATTGGCTGCTTGAAATGCCATGCTAAATTTGAGTTCTTATTTGCTACAAGTCCTTTTACTTCAATTTAATTTTTTACCAAGGTGTAATTCACATTTAACGGGGAAAAACGATAACTTAACTATTAATTATTCAGTATTGTGCACACAGCCAATCAAACCAACGCATTATTACCAGATTGCAAGAGTAGTACGCGAGATTCGCGCACGATTGCACACCCGTGGCCGTTGTAACTTCACACTAAACACATTCTACTTACAATTTGTAAGTACTATGTTGATCGACATATTTGCTGCTTTTCAAGGGAGTCAAGTTTGACCCCGAGGGAAATCAGCACATGAGACTGGAGTTTGCTCGAAGCAACACGAAGGTGACAAAGCCGAAGTGGCCCTTAGGTGTCCCCCTGCCGCCAGGTGCGACAACTGGCTTCCCCTTTATTCCTGCTGCTGCTGGTACCCCTGTCAACTTGTCGCCGATTGGTCAACAAGCCGGATTCCCAGGAATGCTACCCTCCAACTTCCTGCCGCATTTGGCTGGATGTAAGTGAGATCTACTCAGGTGGTTGTATCGATGCTGTGTTGTAGCACGTGGGTGACTCGTGATTCTATTGGTGCATTTGTTGGCACCAATTGCATCACCCCGCACATTCAAATCCACCAATCACTAGGAGCCTAGTTACTTACCAATCAACATTGATGAGAAGACAGCCATGATAATGATGAGAGAGAGGGTGTGTGATGGGAGATAACAGATTGTTTTTTTTGGTTCAGTCGATCCTACAACGATGGCTCTAATTGCAGCACAGGATCCGACACAATGGACAACAAATCCCTACTTCGGCGGTGACAATTCCGGTCTCTTTACGTCGATGGCTGCTGCACACGGTCTTGCACCGGCGGCTTTACTGCAAGCCTCAAACTTTCGGGTGAGTAGACTTCGGGATCGTTTGAATCACCTGTCGTAGTCGCCATCACGGCCTTCTTTTTCGCCATCTACTCCACCGTCGCAAGCGTCATCACGATAACTGCCACCATCTCGTCTTCCACAATAGCATCTTTTATCATCACTTCCTCACCAAATACCGCTTACGTCTCCACCACTAATTCTACCATCACCACTGCCGCCTCCTCCACCACCCCCACCTCCAGCACCGCCACCTCCTCCTCCACCACCACCATTACCATCACTTCCACCACCATTACCACCTCCAGCACCAATACCGCCTCCTCCACAACCCCCACCCCCACTTCCAACACCGCCACCACCACCACCACCTCTAACACCGCTCCCTGCTCCTCCGCCACAACCACCAACAACGCCACTACCTCCACCACCGCCATCACCACCACTACCACTTCCACCACCACTACCGCCTCTTCCACTACCCCCACCTCAAACACCGCCACCACTTCCAACAACGCCACCTTCTCCGCCATAAGCGCCACATCTATTTGACGTAAATACAAATGTGTTTGAAGTAAATTTATTCAATCAGGCCAGGAGATACTTGAAAAAAAAAACATTTTTTCTTCATAAAATAAACTCGAAATACATCAAGTTTTCATGAAACACATTGTCCTATTTAGCCAATTCTGCCAATGACGGCCGGCGGTGCGACTCCAGTCACCCAATCAGGCGCGACCCAAGTAGCCAATCATCTTCAGCTTGTACAAGCTGCCCTTCAGGCAACCAATGCGGCGGCAGCACTTGGACTAATGGCCACGGGTGGCAGCAATCTGCAGCAACAGGGGGCTGGAGCGACACCTGGCAGGACACCCCAAGGATCTTCACCAACTGGATCTGTCAATTCATCGGGGAATCATTCCCAGCCAGCATATTCCACGTTGCAAAGTCAACAGCAGCAGCAGCAGCAGGTAATGGGCGCAGCGCAGTAGAACAGTAAAATTGGCTAAAATAGCAGTTACCGATAATTGATTTTTCGATTCAGTATCTGGCAACGACCACGGCAGCACAGCAACGACAGCAAGCTGCGGTAGCAGCGGTAGCCGCAGGGTTGCCGAGTGGACTACTTCCAGGCATGTTGGGCGGTTTCGCTACGCCATCAGGCATGAAAGAAGAACACTCTCAACATCCAGCCGTTGCGAACGGCAGCTCAGTCCAGGTACTTTACATTAAAAACTACTTACACTCTACTTACATCGATGACAGTAGTACTTATTCTTCATTCCAAATTCAGCTGTCGTTTTAGCATGGATGAAAAAACCAAGCAAACAAGCAAGCAAATATTTTCGATATCTCGATTTCTACGACAATCCCTTACCTACGCAAGAAGAAGAAGAAGATGAAGTTCGTTTGGTGCATATACAAAGGCCTCTGTCATTTTCAAACATTCCAACTGCAGCAGCTCAAAAAAGCGCGTGATTTCTAGGCTGTGTTACTGTTTCCTTTTCCCTAAAGTTGAACCCAAAATCCACCAATAGTTGGGCTCCGCCTGCGCTAAAACCAGCCAATCCCCATCTAACCAGACATGTGCCTGCGCAAACCACAACCCTTCGCGACATATCAACAATTACTTTCCCTACGTTTTTCTTGTAGTTTATACAATCTGTGACGATAAATATGTATACCTGCATAGCTCCTGATTTATGTTTATCAAAGCGATATTTTATTTGGTAACATTAAATACGTTGGTTGTTTACTTAACTTTTGGTAAAAAATATTTTCCTTTTGGACGTCAAAAATCGTTATTAAGGTGGTTTGGAATTATCGATACCACATGAAGCGATTGACTCCTTAGAGTTTAAGAGAATGTCAGTCCTTCAGAACAATGAACATAGCGCCTTTTTTAAAGACTCAGCCACACATCAGGAAGACAGTTTAGAGATAGTTCTTATCGACATTTCACTAGTTATCGCTTGTTTTAATGCGACTTTATAATGACATAATCATAATGATCCTATTCACTAACCAACAGAATCATGTGTAACTGTAGTCACATATTTTCAAATAGTGTTGACACTTGAAAAATTAATTATTAAAAATCAACGTCTTATATAGGTGGGTGTATTCAGACGGATCAATCGGCCTATAGCTGAAGCATTAAAAGCACGTGCTGCTTTGTCTTGCATTAGGGTGGGAGGGCGGAGGGGCTGGGGTACCGGTTATCTAAGGGAGTATGTCGTCTTGGTTACGGGCAAAACGTAACAACATAATTAACGACTTTCTGGTTTGAACAGCTACGCTGATATGATAAAATCGTTATTGTCATCTATTTGAATGCAGATGCTAAACGGATTAGGAATTTATTGTTTAGATTGAGGTTTAATTGACATTACGTGATCTCTAAGTGATTTTGCTTACAATAACTGGTAATTATCAATCGACTGAAAATAATGTATTCCCAATGTAGCCGTTACATGAGATTATCTTCTTAGTATGGCTTTTTGTTCAGTAGGTTATAAATGGTAGCTGTGAAAATGCAGAAGCACGTTTTGCCTGATATCATTGAGTAAAGGTCGTCTCAAGAATGTGAATACACCAAATGCTATCGATGAATTTCAAAGTAAAAAATAAACCTCAAAATTTGTGACTATTTATTGCATGACTAATTTCACTAAATTGACCGTGTCCTTGCAAAATCGTCATCTTTTTAATTAAAATAGTGACAAAAGCCAACCTATGATTCATTTCCTAAATTGCATCGATTTGAAAAGGTGCCAGAACCACAGTAAATAAAAAATCGTCAATACGAAAATGGTCATTAACTTTTCAAAAAAATTTAAGCAGTAAATCGTATCTGCTTTTTACTGATAGAGGATTTTTATTTAAAAAAAAATACCTGTTGATGGAAATCAATAATTTGGTCGAACTAACTTCGTAAATGTTTCAGGACGAACAGAAAATGAATAAAACTATGTCAGGACTGAAATTATGAGTTAAAAGGAAATAATGTTCGGAAATGATACAATCAGATATTATACCAAAAAATTGCCTCACACTATTGAGAAGTTGGTCCAGTTGTGCGTGAAAACAATTAATATTTTTAACAGTGAAATGTCAAATTATACATCTCCTGCAGGTATTTTTAGGAAATTGTTGTTGATAAGCCGGTTAAAAAGTTGGTTTATAATATTTCATGCGCTTGAACTTGGTGATTACATCTCATTTGTTAGAATGAGCTTTGATTTCTTACGTTGGTTTAAAAATAGTGGCTAGTTAATATAAGAACGTTTTCTGGTATTCCGTCGTTTCAAGCCGAAATGACGGAGCCTGTCAGTGTTGAAGAATTTATTCAAGACACGTTAAAAGACATACATTCCCCTTCAGAGTCGGAATTTAGTACCAAGATCTCATCTATACGACAGACTATTCACTCTCTTGATGAGGTTTGCATCAACTTTACTGTACAACAACAAATTATAGGGCCTCGAGACCGATAGATCTATCCTGTCAAAGTCTCGAAAATTTGTAAAGAGTGTCGTGTCGTCCGGTCTTGGTAGGTGTTTGTTTTTTCTCACCTTTGTGCTCCAGGGTATGCTGCCTCAACTCTTGCCCTATGTGACCACCTTGAAAACCTGGGACAGTTTGCGCTTGAACCCGTAGATACCAATGGAAGTGATTTAACCGCTGGATTCTGCCAGTTTTCCGTCATCCATCGTGATCTGGGAATCATGTTCAAGCATCTGGTCAGTACCCAGCCGCTGTTCGTGTCTAGTTCAATGCTGATCTAATATTTTTCTTAGTGAAGGTATATACTTTTGCCTTGCTTACACGTAGCCACAATCCTTTGTTGCAGATGCAGAATCTCAATAGTATTTTGGTATTCCCAATGGAAACCTTTCTTCAAGGGGATTTGAAAAGCGACCTAAAGAAGCCGTTTGACAAAGCTCTTAAGGAATATGAGTATAAATAGTAAGTTTTTTTTATCAAATCACCTTGTATAAGTTTAATTCTGCATCAAATTCGTTTTTTTCACACAATTTTTCTCTGTGTGTTTTGTTCGAATTCCTGATTTTAATGTCCATTGAAACGAAGCCGACTGTCATGTTTTCCCGTATGTAAATAGACTGAATGATTTTAATCTGAATTGCTAATGCTCGCTTCACAAACTACACTTCGTAATTAACTTTTGACTGTTCAGGTCTTCATTGATCAAAATCACAAGTTTCTGGCGACGAGTGGGTTGTACCTTGTTCGCGTTCTTCAATGTAAATTCCACATTCCAATCATCTAAGGGATCTAATTCACGTTCTGGACAGTTTTATCTTTGGTTATGCTCTCTGAATCGCCATGCCTACCATTCTAGTTTGATTAAACTACAATCTCACCGTACTACCATACGGAAAGCTCTCTTCATGTTCAGAAAGAAACGGCTAAATGGTTCTCTGAGCGATATCGCAATAAACAGGCAGATAATCTTCGGCAGATTTGCTACACTTATCTCTGTCAAGCGTGCTTGTTGCTGCTTTTTTTGTGGTCGTAGTGAAGCTACGATCGGTTTGTCCTGCCAGTCGCTAATCTTCCTTGGCAAAAAAAATGCCTCGACCTTGTTGGCTTTGTGTGCGCGGGTTCTGTTTTTTTAGGGGCAAATTTTAAAGAACAGATTTTCTTCTTGCGTCCATCTTACCTATTAGTGGTCTGACTTGACCTGAATTCACTCAGTCGTTTGAACTGTGAACAGCTCTTTCTCTGACATGAAAACAGATCATGTCGAGATGTTCTTTCTCAGAGAACCGCTCTCACGACACGATTAGTTTTTTGCCAATTCATGCGAATTCAATGCCCAGTGTGAGGTGCCTTGCAGAAATGCCATCTTCAGAAAAGCGTTGCCCTTAACCCTGTTGCAAAGCAGCTGACATTTAAACTATTCTGGCACCAATTTCTTGCCAGTACGGTGGTTATTTTTCTCCCGGCCGTCGTGTACACCCATTTTGTGCGATTCTCCATTCACTTTGACTGTCCTTTTTTAATTTGCCGCCACATTCACTCTAACCAATCAGTTTCTACCCTTGGATTGTTTGTTTGTGTGTTGTTTTTTCTTGACTTGGGGTTTTCCTTGAACTTGGCACAGCCAATTTGTTTTTTTTTCGTGATAAGATTCTACATTCTGTGTTATTCCTAGACCTCTGACCTGTTTCGTGGATATGACGTGACCCCAGATGGTCACCCCTTGCCAACCCAGAAATACCGATTATTGATAGTCTAATTGGTCCAGGCCACGGAAATGCCTTCTAGCATGTCCTACGCGATTCGTGTCTATTTTGCGTCCGATTGCATCACCAAGTCGTAATCTAAACACAATTAACAACCAACCGGAAGCGATTAAATTGTCAGAGCTCGTGGCCGTCACTACACCGCAGTCGTGTGTTTCCGAGCTAGTTTATTCATTTATCCACGCACACACATACACATCACCGCAAAGTTTTGTGGTGCACCTGGGTGGAAAAGAGCAGTTTTTTGTCGCTGTGGTCATCCCACCGCTGCCGAACCCATCTGAACCCGCTTGCTTTTCGGTGTGCGCACTTGTCGTCACGTCCCTGCCGACCTCGCCACGACCGATCTGATTGGCGGAGGGAGGGACGGAGGCTCACCCTAGTTAACCTCTTTGTGCCTCTCTTCACTCTTTGCCAGTGAAAAACTTAAGAAGGAGAAGCTGCAGGCGATGAAGGAGTCGGGTGTGTACACGCCGGAGACGTTCACTGTAGAAATGGCGGAAAATCTCGAGAAGGAACGACGCCGTCTGCAGTTGGAGGTTTGCGAGGTGAGCGCTCTCCGATTGGTCGATTGGACTCAGCGTCTGATTGGCTAGCCGGCAGATCACTCACCATGCGCACATCTTCTTCTTCTTTTTCTTTTTTCTTTGCAGTACTTCATCAAGGTGAACGAGGTGAAGTCCAAGAAAGGCGCCGATTTCCTCCAGCACTTCATCGACTTCTACCACACTCATTTGCAGTAAGCTGAATTGTTGGTGGCGGAGCCAATTTGCTTAGGTTAAACATGCCCTCGCATCTGCGTGGTATCGATGTTTGCGCTTGTGCGCGCATGCACATCACTGACCACGGTGGGGAGATGATAATTACCTTATGACCTCCACGTGCGGTCTGTCGTTGCTAGGGCTGAGTCATCGTCTGACAGGGGTCGCAATGAGGGTTGGGGGAGAAATGCCACGTGTTTCCACGCGCGCGCACGCACGCACGCCTCCCCCACGGAATTCGGCGTCACGGTGCGGGCACGGTTTCCTTATTCCCCATTACCACCTCCCCGCCCTACCCCTGCCTCTCAATGCGCTTATTTACTACTGAATTGTTTGGGTTAAGTAGTATGGTGGTGATTAAATGGGCGTTTGTGTGAGCCGTGTTGCCTAGCGTCTGCTTTCGTTGTCAAAAAAGTGTAGTTGGGCCGTGCTGCTCAACACGATCACTACTTCCATGGCCACTGCGATCGCAGTCACTATCACGGCCACTATCATCGTCACCATCATGGCCACCTCCAACACCATATCCCTCTTCTTCTTCTTCCTTGTAGCTACCTCAAGGAATGCGTCGAAGTGATGGAGCACTTCGGCAAGAAGATGCCCGACCTTGCGAACCGCATAAGCTCCCTACAGAAGCAGCACGACACCCAGAAACGCCACCTCGTGGACACGCGCGAGTGTGTCCGAAAACTCCTCGAAAAGGAGGTAAACACACTTTCCGTGACTCTTTTTCGCCCTACTACTTAATTAGCCATTTCAGTACTATCGACCGCTCAGGAGATATTTTCCAGCCGCACGGTTCGAGAGGTGCCCCAAGCCCAACACACACGCGATGCTCAAATCTGATTGTTTGATCAACTAAAACCACGTGTGCTCATCTTGCGGCCACATTTTAACCTGCTGCTGTCCGCTGACCTATTAAGTGTCCCGTTGATTTCAGCGTCCACCCTAGTTGCATTACCAGACACTCTAGAGTGCGTGTGTGTGTGTGTGTGTGAGTTGGGTTTGTGCCGCCTAATCGTCATTGTGTTTTGGCGAACGGCGGCGATTGGACGACGTGAAGGTCACTGTACACACATTTTCTTTCTTAGCCAACCAAAAAACCCCGGAATATTGCCTTCAATGTAAGCGCCGTAACTGTTGTCTGCTTTCCGTTGCCGCATGATTTTGTTCTTACCAAGCATGACTACGTCCTGCACGTGATTCCTTTCCCCTTCTACATATGCTCGATAGTACCCCCTTTTGCTGCTCTTTTTTTAAAAAAGAACCCTCTTTATTTGCCATTTTCGCTTATGATTCTAATTATCCAGGCTTAGTAAATAATGTCAGGTTGCCGACGGCCCATCTGCATGTTTGTGCGCCGCCAGACGGCGTTTCTCTTTTGTGTACCATTTAATTCGTTAATTGGCTCCTGGATGATATCTGGGTGCGGGGTAATCGATAACCATGAGCTGTATTGATCGGTATTTCCGTTTAAAGTGACCTCTGCTTATGTGGAACCGTGGTGAGGTCAGTGTTGCGCTTCTGCAGTCATTCTAGGTCAGTTTAATGTCAGAATGCGGAGAAAAAGTTATTCTAGAAGGTGCTTGTTTAGAGACGATAGGCCTGATTACTTGCAAACGAGACGAAGCAGCTGTCTCGCGATATCAGCGATATTTACTTTACTTGGCGGCGATTGGTTGGCGTGTGAAATCATCACCCTTTTCCCTCCTCTGATTGGGCAATTTTTAAGGAGCTTCCTGACTGGCTGGATGAGTGATCTCCGCTTTGTGATTGGTCGATTCCTGTAATTCCCTCCTACGAAAAGGAACTTTACTTTGAGAGCTGATTTAGATTGTCATTTTCTTAATGAAGCAATTTTTTTAAGTACCGGTGGTTTTTTTGTTACTCTTTCAGTCTGTTCAGGCGGCACCCAGCTGTGGGTATCCGTCTACCCAAACGGTGCCCGTAAATCTCTCATATGGGACTCAAAAAAGTGGCTTTCTTCTGAAGAAATCCGACGGAAAGGTAGGTGGCTAACGACATTACTTGCAAACCGACTCTGCCTACAAATCGATTTTACCCACAGCCAACAGCCACACTACTACTTGCCTGGTAATAAGTAGTTGTTAATGTTTGCAGGTAAAGCGGATTTGGCAGAGACGTCGAGTGTGTGTCTCCGACCACGAATTGTGCCTCTACCACGCCGACGAGTCGAAGCCGCCCGTGCGTTTGATGCTCCTCACCTGCCAACTCAAGCTCCCCGGTGAGCACCCCTCTCCGAACGTCTCCGCGCCCGTCGATCAAAGCGGCGATACCCCTGACACCGCGTCCTCAGTCGCCAGACGCTCTTTCTTTCTCGTCTCCAGTGAGTAGTTCTCACCTCAAACTAATCGAACGCACTCAGTGTGGTGTGAAATGAATGTGATTGGTTGAGGTTTAGCCCAACTTGTATGTGATTGGTCAACCGAATGACCTTGACTTGATCACCACTTCGTGGTTAACCTTCTCCTTCTAGACAACCGCACTTACCACTTCCAAGCTGAAGATGACAAGGACTTCGCGGAGTAAGTAGTGCGCGCATCAAGTTGATTGGTCTGTGCTTTTTTTCAATTACGCCCGCTTAACCAATCAGGAAATACTTGCTCTGCCCCCAGGTGGACCAGTGTGCTGTCCAATGCCATGCAGGCTGTCTTCAACGAGGCCATGAACTCGGGAGGTCAAGGTCACGCCTCCAACGGTCTGGACATGTACACCTCCTCGCATCACAGCCGCGGCAGCAGTATCACAGGCAGTGAAGTTGATCTTCTTGTGTACGTTCTACTTGCAACATTTAAGTAGTGCTGTTTTTTGTGCACAGTGGTTTGGCAGGCTTAAATAAGAGTCAAGCTATGAGCCTATGAAAACCAACTAAGTTCCAGTGCTTTCGTGCAATGCCTTCAGTTCACACGCCGTCGCACCGTCATCGCTTTCTCGCTCGTCAACTGGCGGTTCCGGGGACGCGGCGAATGTCTTAACGGGCGCACAACTCCACCAGGCCATTCAGCGGATTATGCGGACCAAAGTTCCTGGAAATCACATCTGCGCTGATTGTGGCCGTCCCGGTGCGTCTAGCAGACCAATTTGGTGTGTGTTTGTGCTGCTGAAATCTTATGAGTAGTGCATATTTTTTATTGTCACGTTTGCAGACCCGGAGTGGGTGAGCGTTAACCTCGGCGTGCTCATCTGCCTGGAGTGTTGTGGAACACACCGCGAACTGGGCGTGCAGTGTTCCCGGACACAGTCCCTCCTCATGGACGACCTCTCCACAAGCCAGCTCTTGGTGCGTGTCTTATTCCTGCGCTAGCATCTGTGTCTGCTTTAATCGATGAGATGACCACTTGGTTGACACCCTTCTAGGCTCACACATACTTAGTAAGAGGTTGCGTTGCCAGTTGTTTGGTTTCTGTTACTAACTAAATCGATCACTCGTGTGGCGCAAGTTATCCTCGCAAATTTGGCTTTTTTTGCCGTCTAGCTTCCTCGCTTTATCGGAAATCGATTGTTTAATGACGTCTATGAGTCATCCCTAAGCGAAACCACCAAACCAACTGCGAGTTCTGACAGCGCCAGGTCAGTTTTCTGTGATGGTGTGTTTAATTTGTTGCTACTTATAATCTTTATAAGTAGCGAGTCACTTAGAAATTCGACTAATCAGATGAGAGATGATCATTGCGTTGTAGCCGTCGAAATTTCATTCGTTGCAAGTACCAGGAGAAGAAATTCATCACCAGCACCATGGGCTGTCTAAACACAATAGGCAGGAGACGCCGCACCTCCATGGACACCACAATCACCGCTGACACCTCTCTGTCCAGCTCTGACGTGGATCGATTTTTGAAGCGTGATCTCCTCCGTGCTATTCGCACGGGCGACTTGTCCACACTCATCCAAGTAAGAATTCCACTTGATATTCGTAAGACCACCATTCGGCATGAACGGACCAATCACAAGCCACCACCGTATACTCATTCCCTATTGGTCGCGTTCGGTTGTAGGTCCACGCGGAAGGCCTAGACCTGACCGCGCCAATCGACGTGGTCGATGACAGTGGCACCTCGGTTGTGGGCAACACGGCACTCCATTTCACGATTGAGAACGCCGCTGTTGACGGTATTCTGGGCTCCTCACCCTACCTCTACCTCTCCATCCTCGAATTCATCATTCAAAACTCCTCGGCGTAATTTCCCTCCCTAAAAATCCTCTCTGCTTACGTCGATTTAAGTAGCTGTTTTATATTCGTGTACTTGTGCCTTCCTGCAGGCAAAACCTTCAACGCGAAAACGCCATGGGTGAAACGCCGCTGCATTACGCCGCCAAGTTTGCTTCCGCCGACGCAATTCGTCTCCTGCTGTGCATTGGTGGCACTCCGACAGCTGTGAGTAGTGATTTTTTTCTCTAAAATAATCGCTACCCCTTTAGATGATCTCGGCAACCAACATGCTGGATCAGACCCCTCTCGATGTGGTTCGAGTCAAGCTCAAGACAGAAACCAATCAGAAGAAAGTGGGTCAGCTGCGTCAGTGTGAGAGGCTGCTGCTGTTAGCGCAGGACTGCTCCTCGGAGGCGTTGAAGTCAGGCGGCCTGAGTTTTGCGTCCACAACGGCGGACGCTGAAATGGCCGCGCAAAAGCGCCTTGTCGACGCCATCGATGACCTTGAGACTGTCCAATGGGGTGTGGATGTGACGGCGGCAACAATCGCAACCTCCCTTATGAAGCGCTCTAACTCCGTTCAGGAGGATTCACTTTCGCGGGCGATTGGCGAGACCATTGCCGGTGCCATCGGCGTAAGTGGGCCGATCGCAAATGGGCCACAGGGGTCCACGGCGGCCTCCCCCAAGCGAACGCCTTTGTCGTTCAATCTTCGAAGCAACTCCACCAATAGTGCCGCGTGCCATTCGCCGAAGTATGGTGGAGCACTAGCCACGATCCCGCGAAAAAAGGGTCCCGCTCCGAAACCCCCCTCGGATGTGAGTTTGCCAACTACTGATTATCGATTTAAGTAGAACCTGATAATTGGCTACTTTCTCCTTCAGGTTTCATGGTTCTCCATTTCCACGGACGCGTCTACTTCGGAGCACACGCCGGCCTCGTTGAGTCGTCGTTTGAGCGGTGGCTGTGCCTCCTTGTTTACGCGGTCGTCCAGGACTTATGCAAGTACCCTTGCAGGTCAGTCCGCTAGAATCGGCTGAACGTTTCCAAATGTGCGATTAAGTAACGCCTCCTTATCCACCCGCAGCTCCGATTCCCGATCCGATCGGCGACCACATTGATGTTTTGCTGGATGTTCTCGAGGAACACCCAACATGCGACTCCTTCTCCAACGAAGCCGACAATAAGGAGGTTGAGCCGTCTAGACAATCACCTGGGCAAGCCTCACTGCAGCGTGCCATTGCGCTCTACGACTGCGACGCCGAGAATTCAGACGAGCTCACCTTCAAGAAGGGCGAGGTGATTATTGTGGTTAGGGATGTGGAGCAGTATTGGTGGGTACGTGAGAAAGACGTGTCCTCTCTGAAATATCACTTTGCCTAAATGCCATTTCAGTACGCCTTTCTTTTGCTTGCATTTCCAGGAGGGTTATATTGAGAACGAGCCGAGCCGTCGCGGTCTGTTTCCTCTGACGTACGTCAAGCTCCAGCCGCCTTCCACTGACACCAACTGACAATCTCTGGCTGCAAAGCAATTTCCCCGCGCCACTGTTCACTCATGCCGCTGATGCTCTTCTCGTGTTTGTACATGATATGCTCTGGTTTATTATCGCTTCTTCGGGGTATATCCCGTGTCCCCTCCCTCCCTCGTTAATCCCACCGTCTTTGACTTCATTAATTTTGCTGCGATCCGCTTGGTGGAAGAATATATTTTATGTTGAATTACCAATTACGTTGCACTTGGGATTGGAAATATCACTTTGGTCAAAGGTGGCGCTATTAAATTGTACATAACAGTATGAAGACGTTAGGTGGACGTTTCAAAAATAAGTTTGGCTTGTAACCACACGAGGTTGACAGGTTCGCTAGATTTCAACTTAGAAACGGCTCAAGGTAGTATTCAGTGGCGTGTGCATAAAGGTCTGTGGTGTGGCAAGCTTAATGGCGAAAAAAAATATGGACGCGATTTGATTTGTAAATTTTTGTACTGGATCGTGAGAAATTTGATCGCATTCACGTTTACTTGGAGCCTCAATATATAGTTTCACATACATACATACATACGAGTTATAAATCACAAATATAAATTAAACTGCAATTTCATAGTATGTAATTATTATATTTAGGTAAAAAAGAGTTTGCTGCATTCTTTTAATTGAAATTAATTTAAAAAACCGGATATAGACAAATGTGTACGAAAAGCGTGGGATTTAATGGCATTACATGAGGTTTATTGGTATTACTGCATAAAATTTTCTGAACACAGTAATAAATTTACTTTAACTTTAAAAATAACAATAATACTTCAGTTTTAATCTAATAAAAATTATATAGAATGGTATTACGTAAATATAATGAGAGGCTAAATTTGGTTGAATTAATGTATGCAATTACCCAGAAAATTAAGGCATCTATGTCTAAACCATCATGGAGCGTTGTAATTTACAGATACATAACCTGTTTCAAAGTAATGAGCAATTTCGGATTTGTACGAAAATTGCAAACAGGAATTTGGAAAATATATTCGGCAAATTTCTATTTTAACTGTGGTGAATGGACTAAAAAAATGCAGACATAAATATCTCTTATAAGTTTGCCTTATTTAAAAGAAAAATAAATAACAGCAACGGATTTCTGCTGCTGATTAATAAATTTTTTTTGACATAAATTTAAATGCTTATAACGCGCTCTTACAGATCGCGCCTCTCTTGATCTGGGGCTTTTTTGCGTACATACTCTTTTATTGCAATTTTCTTTAATCATATCGTGTTCTCGTCACCTGTTTTACGACTTTTTGCAAAATGTCAATTGTCGAAGCTGTACTTCAGACGCTATCTTCACTTAAGTTTGAAAGTACATCTGCAGACCAATCCGATGGACGACCAACCACGTTTGACAATGAAACTCTTGAAACCGCCGTATGTTTTCTTTTCATTTTACCCTTTAGGAGAAATTACGTGTGTTTCAATCCTTACCGACAATTGGCAAAAATCTTGGCGCTGAAGAATGTCAGAAGACTCTAGCCCCTATGTTAAGCGGTAAGCTCTAGGCTTCTTATATGATAATTAATGTCAACACACTCCTTTTTTTTCTTCTGGCTTCTTATTACTTTTCTTTTTTGCTATTTGAAGATCTTGTGCAAAAGGCCATCGGTGCAGGTGACGACGAAGTTCTCATGGTGATTTCACAGAAACTCCCTGATTTAGCAGAAGTTCTTGTGCCTGTGGGTGAAGGCGCAAGCTCTCTTATTGTTAGTTTTACGAGTCGATTGTGAATTTATCGTTCGTTTGTTTCCGCATTCTCAATGTGCTTATGCATTCCTTTTTAGCCAATAATTTCAGATATCTTGGTCTTCGTGGAGGAGATTGTCGTTGCCCAGACAGCCGCTGATGCTTTCTGCGCCATTTTGCCACATTTGTCAGCCGATCAGATCGACAAAAAGGCACTTCCTCTCATACGTAAACTGCAAGAGGGTTAGTTTCGTCATTGCGTTTCTGCAACATTCTTTGTTTTCTTTTAATTTGTGCCTAATATGGTTGTTGTTTCGACAGTACCGCTCAGAAATAATACTTTTTTCCTAACTTTGTGGCTCTCATAGTTAGGAGTAAACTGTTTATTCGTACGTATCTTACGCTTGCCCAATGCCTGGGATAGTCGTCTTCAGTTATGCGGTACTTTCACAGTTGGTTAATTAACTGCAATTTTACACTTGGATATTTCCCTCTCAAATCGAATTGTGGTTTTAGTAATTTGCGGTAATGGTTTGTTGCATTTATTTCTGAACCTTGTCACATTCCCAACCCCATGCTTTTCGCAAATCACCATGCTGGATGACATTCCTCATGTGAAATTATTCGCAATTCATTTTAAGTGGCATTTCTTTACTGGGAAGCGTAGCGACGTATGAATGTGGGTTTACTCGTACGAATCCAACTCTGTTGTAGTGGTGGAAGACGATCATTTGTGTGCAGATCGGCCCGTTTGTTTAGTTTTTAGGTCAGCCGCCCATGTTGTCTCAGAAGACATTTCCTGTCTGAATTGCTTTTGTCCAGTCAACTTCCCTTTAGTCGTTTTTTTTTTGAATTAAGTTTACTTCTGGCTTCGCGCTGACACGCTCCACTTCCCCTTCCAGACACAATTCAACCAAACTACTCCCATGTGTTTCACTGGTAGACAATGTTGCCGCAACTGTTTCCTGAACGACATTTCTGAGAGGTGGCCAATCATGTGCCTTCCTTGACCCGGGTCTCCTTTGTCATAGGGACGCGACAAATGTTGCCAGTGCCCTTCCTAAATCGAGCTATTTTCTCTCGCAGCAGTTATAAAGCCGTATCAACCCTTTCTTGATATTTTCCCAGTTTTTGAGTGTAATTTTTGGTTGCATGCAACTTAAGAACGAGCTAAAATGGTGTGTCTATATCACTCATCTGTTGGCCAGGTTAGCAGCCCCAAAACTCACTCACACGAAGATGGAGCAACCTTGTGCCTTCCAAGGCCATGCCAGACTCTCAGCTCTGATTGGACAGCATTGCGGCTGCTTGAGTGGTTGGTTAAAGCCACGCACATCCACAGAAACTCAGCCCGCACGTTGCTACTTGCGTGCCACCACACATGGAAGCTTATCCCCACCGTGTTGCCTCACGTCCACGCGCACACACCCTAACCGCGTTATCGATTGGATGACTGCCTTGTGCGCGTGCACCGTCCGTGCGTGTGTGTGTGTGTATTTGGGTGTGTGTGCATGTGTGCGTGCGTTCTTTTTCGTGTGTAATAGGCCTGTCTACTGCGTCCATCTTTTCGTCGTGGAGGTTCACCAACTTTCACTCATGGTATCCCTGCCATTTGTTGAAGCCTTTCCTGTCTCCTACCTTCAAACGCGTCCGGAAATGACCAGATAAACAGATTTTGCTACCTGGAACTTGTTGGCCCAAATTTCGTGTCAATAATCGTAGTGGGGCCCACAAATCGACGTCGATTCCTGGCAACTGCTAACAGCGCATAATCTCCTCTCGCATGTTCACGCTTTGCTTGTATATCGTACGGAGGTAACTTCAAACAGAAGAAGGTGGTCGTCGAGGGAAAGCGGGTTGCTAGTCCAGCACGTTCTTAACGTTCTCGGACTCGTGAACCACGCCGATGCTCGTTGGACGTGCGGAAAGCCATTTGAGGTGTGCGTAGGTGTCAAAAAAAACCATTTTAGGTCGATCTTTCGTAACTTAAAAGACGCAGACCGTTGACCTCTCAGGATTACCTTATTCTAGACTAAGACCGTCTTCTAATAACTGAGTTTTTGGTGAAATTTCCTGGTTCCAGGTTGTGTGCCGATGAGTGGCGTCCTGTATCTTGTAAGCTATTCTGTGAACCCCAGTAAAAGCTCTGTCACTTGACAGATGTCAGTAGCAGCCGAATTTAAGCACTCCTTCCATCAATCCACGCACGACACTGTGTTGTAGGGGCTCTTCATCCTTAAGTGTTCCGGTTCGATGAGGTTTCTAGGTGGCAGTCATCAGACTAGACGTATCAACGGTCGACAAGAAATTAAAACTGGTTAGGAGTCGGCAAATCTTCTCGATTAAAAACTGCAGCAACAGTACACACCGATATTTTTCCCAAAAAATTGCAAATTTTAGCATCCCATTGCCTGCATGCAAACATATCTGCACCTAATGACACCTGTTCGAACTTTTATCGATAAATGGCAATCAAATTTGAGACATGAGTTTTGGCAAGCTGAGGTCCTCGTTCCTTACTTCTAATTGGTGTTGTCACACGGCTTTGAATGGCTAATCGACCTTGTCGTAATCCGCTTCTCTCTGATTGGTTGCCATACGTTCTCACGTTGTGTTTCCATCGAGATGTGAAAATGTACAGTGAAAAAAAGGTGATTTTTTCTCTCCTCCTTGTCTAGATGATCTGTTTTGTGCGTCGAAGAAGGTCGTCAGCAAGATGATCATCTCCTGTTACCCCCTGGTGCCGCCCAAAGTGCGCTCCGAACTCAAATGGTGAGCTCAAACCCTTTGTCTGTCGCCTCTATGATTTGATTGCCCCTTTAAATTGTGTACTTTGCTGCATTTTCAACTTCCTTGTTAGGCCCAATTAGATTTCCAGGGTGGTCAGGATGTGCTGCGGACACGTTGGCAGTGACAACTACGGCGTACTTTGTTATTTGCCACATTTTGCGCCGATTCGAGAAGATGCTTCCAGTTGAGCTGCCGCATGTCACGTGGTTGTGTTTAGTGAATATTGCCTGATGGTAAGTTGGCGACTAGCGGGAGAATCGCGCGCACACGCACTCACCCACGCACGCCAGGCTCGTAGATCCGCAGAGGAGAATCACGTGGACACCAAGGTGGATTCTTGCGTCACCCGGTTAACTCATTCATGCCAGTTCTAACAGTACCTCTTCACCGATCTCTACACTGCACAAATCCTAACAATCCATGCCACACCCTCCCACGAGGCAAAAGAACGCGCATTTCGTTCTGGTAGACATTTCGCTGCAACACGATTTGGTATCCGACTCACTAAATTCAGGTTCAATTTGCGGCGAGACTGTCCACGTGTCGTGCAGTTAAGGTGTGTTTGTTGGCATGTGTTTGATGAATTTGATGGAGCAGGTTTTTAACCTCCGGTCTTCTGGGCATGACGCTGGCACTGCGACCGGCCCGAGTGTCTACGATTGGACAGATCGGGACACCATTTGCTCTCCCCGGATCGCCTCCAAACCACACTGCAGCACACGAAGATGCTGCCAACGCACGTCGTGTTGCAAGTGCGCCTGCTTCGCGGCGACATCAGGCGCAGTACGTCGCAAGGACACCGCGCCTAATCCACCTGCTGGCCATCGTTTTAATAAATAATGAGTCACGTGTCGTGGCCTGGCACTGCACACCAGCTTAGCCAACGCAGATCACTCCTGGTAAATTTCTTGATTTCGGATAGTGGAAGTCCAGGGAATGAATCGCGTCCACCAGTGTTGAAGGTGTCGACGTGTGCGTTGTGCTGGAACGAACACGTCACACAAGCGCCCCGAGAATACAGTCAACACCAGAGATGGAGAAGACACAAACGCGTGTGTTGGCTACGGGCTCAATGTCGGCGGTGTTGCGGTAGCCGCATCTGACTCAGCACAGTCTCTGGTTAACTTGAAAACGTACAACTGGTGAGGCGAGAGTGAAGCGCGGATAG